GCCATAATTTGCCTCACATTTGTAGTTAAAGTCCCAAAGTATTTTGGTGGTCCAACTGCGTTTCGCAAGATTTGAACAGTGACCCTTAAAGAAGTGAGCGCCAAACATAAAACTGGTAATTACATAACGTAGGAACTTTATTTCCATGCGTTTAAGTTATAACAAAAGCGGTCCTTTGTTGTGAACGGAGAAGTTAAAGTCGCTGAGGAAGTCAACGAGGAAAATATAGGTTTTTTTCGAACTTTTCAGCTTTGGGTACCACTATCGCCGAAAGGCTCAAAGACCCAATAGTTTATTAACAGTTGCCTTTCAGGGATAGTTTTCTATGCTCAGAACATGTTTGATCCCATGTCATCCTCACCTGAAATCGGATTTTTTTTGTTACTATCCGCTAGTTTAGATTGCAGAGCATTCGCAGTTCTCATAAGCGAAAAAAACTTATCGGATACTGACCTATCTCGACTAAAAAAGACCTCTTTAAAGTTGTCCGTCTTTATCATTGCGTTAATCTACGAATACATCCGCTCTTCATTGCTTCTTACCTCGCGATCAAGCTACCAATTTCACTACATGCGCTTGTACATGTTTAAAATGTTATTTGTTATCAATTTGCTCTTTTCTGTTGAACCATAGTTACTATGGTTGAACAAAAAACAAAACTAAAAAGTCAAAACAATTACATGTTAACAATCATAGGACATGAAAAGCTGGGCTTGCTTTTACAAGACAGATCCACGAAAAATTAAAAATAACTAGTCTTCATAGGTTATAATTATTTGCACAGGTTATCTTTGGTAAATTATAAACAAAAGCCCCATCGTCACGTATCGCGATATTTTTGAAAACGGAAACTTTTTGCTCCGCTCCTTAAAAAATACGCTTCCAAAAGTGTGTTTCAAAGTTTTCGCCAGGAGCCCATCAAATGGAGCTGCTTGTCTCACAGTAAGAGGCCATGAAGCTGGTCTGTTCCATGCATGATGATTAACCAAAATGTTAATTACCAAAATTAAGATTGACATAGTCAGAGTTTAAAACTCTCAACAGCATAATCTACCCGCTAGAAAGAAAAGAAAAAAAATCTCTGAGGGATGAAAACGCTAAAGTCAAGTTTCACTAGCTTATGATGGTGTTTGGCCTGTCAACGCCGAATTACCTGCTGTTTGATGAAGTACAATAGCACTGTCATTTCGTCACTGTGATTGGCTCTTCCTCTGGGAACCGTTCTAATTCAGTATAAACATTACTCGGACAAGGGTTGACTCCAAGGGTTTGTATGGGAGATGGAGGCTCTGTTTGATGGGCTCCTGCTCCTGCTCTTTTAACTGCGAGTTACATGAGAAAAATGACGTTTAAGTGCTGAAATACACGAAACCTTTCTTTTTTATTAACATTATTATATGTTTTTGTATTTAAAGTCCTAAACTATTCCTCTGGTCCAACTGCATTTCTCAAGATTTAAACACTAACTTAAATGTTCAAGAAAACCGCTTAATGCTATGTGTCTTTAAAGAGACCATTGCACATCAGAAGCCTGCGAATACAACCGCTCTTCATTGCTCCTTGCCTCGCAATCAACCTGCCACTTTCTTTAAAATGTTCTTTGTTTATAATCATAAACTTCCCTGTTCTTTCAATACACAAAACTGAAATGTCATGAACATGACGTTACCTGGAACTGACAAGTATACGGAGAAGAAAATTTACTTTAAAACCGTTGCTTAGCGTTACATAAGAAAAATGACTTTTACGTGCTAAAATACAATATGTTTTTATCAATATATATTTATGAGATGAGTCACGTTTATTTCAAAACCTAGACTTCCTTTTCTCATAGTAAGCCAAATTTTGTGTCACATTTCTATTTTAAGTCCCAAACTGTTCGGGTGGTTCAACTGGGTTTCCCTGCAAGATTTAAACAGTGACTAGCAAAAGAGAGGCATAATTTAAAGCGCCAAACTGTCACATAAACGGACTGGTGAGGTATGTAGAAACCTTATTTTAACACGTTTTAATTATAACAAAAGCGACGCTTTGTGGTGAACAGAGAAGTTTACAATAAGTCAGTGAGGAAGTCAACAAGGAAAATAATACAGTTCATTTTTAGATTTTTTCAGCTTGGGTACCACCATTTCAGAAAGGCTCAAAGACCCAATAGTTTATTTAACAGCTTCCTTTCAGGGATAGTTTTCTATGCTTAGATCATGTTTGGTCCCCATTTTTCATCAAAGAGTACAGATTCTCGACCTGTGAGAATCCACACGCTTTTAATTATTGCCTTAAGTTGGCAAGACTGGATTTTTTAGGTTGGATACCTCTTAAGTTTGAGTATTTACCACGTTGGCGTGCAATAACAAAGACATCGGAACTGAGCGGTTACCACAGCCCTACTATGAAAAGATGAAAATTTGTTGTGATCCATGTTTCATTGCCATGGCAGATGTCACTCACGTACCTCCCTTAGTTGCCTCGATTATGGCAAAGTTTGAACAAATGCTATGAGAGCATTTTGGAAATATTTTGAACGAATTTTAAGGGTCATAAAAACAGTCGATAAACATGCTATCGACTTCATTGGCTATTAAATATGTAAAAGAAACAATCATGAGGTATGGAAATGCAGTTTCATCTCATAGTGGTTTGATTTCATTTGAAACAGTGTAGGAAAAAAGAGGAGGATTAACTGATGAAGTGTGCAAGTGGCCCTGCCTTCTATCAGTGAATTTAAGCCGAATTTCTATTCGCAAGCATAGAAGTAAGGCTAAGAAAGATGACAGATTTTTACTTGGAATAAGGCGTTTAACAGTAGTTCTTTCAATTTAACGAAAACAGTATCGAAACTCAGTTGAGAATCACCGTGGGCTCAAAATAACAAAAACTATTTCTGAGTAAGGAGCTTATTGATTTAGATATATTTATTGAAAGCACTGAGTTGTATATTATCTTTAAGTGTATTCACTGTACAACTGGAAAAGTCTCAGTGAAAGAGTTTAGGGTGGTCTTAACGTGACGGTAATTAAGGAGCGATGACCGGATATCGAAATGATTCTAATTTTTTAGTAGCAGGCAATTGAAATTCGTTCCTTACATCGCTCGCCTTTCAGTTTGGAGAAAGACTAAGTTTCTTGAAACAGAACAATGTTGAAATGCTAAGACTGAAAACGACCATGATCCTGAAATAACGTGCCTCGCTCACGAGGATGGAGCTGAAGGAGCAAAGGATGAATACGAAAAGGATCTTCAGTATAATGGTTAGTTTTATACCAACTTATGCCATTTAAACTCAGAAAGTTCTGAGTATAAACCGCAAACCGAACATTAACGGGAGTACAGTCATGTAGTTTTATAAACTTTGTCAATGTTATGTCAAGTCTTTTCATATTTGTATGATAATTCTGAAACTGACTAAACCGCACAAACAGGTGCATATAATATTACGTAAAATCAGTGAAAGGCACATTACGTTTTCCAAATCAGAACTCGGGAAAAATATCTGAATTTTCTTCAACATTGCCCTGAAATAAACAATAAATAACTAAAGCGAATAAACCCTGAAATATTAGTCAAGATAAAAATATGAAGCGTTCGCCGGGTTGTAGAAGCCCTTCGTTTTGTCAATTCAGTAAACTGATCTCACGCTTGCCGGTCTTTCTGAAACTAAACTTGGGACGAAAACCTTTTTCAATAGCTTTGCTTTAACACCTGATTGCAGAACAAAAAAGTGCCGCTCAAGCTGAAATTTGATTGCACGTTTTTCAGTAGGAAAGTGTTGTTATATGTGATTTCCACGGTTGGTCGAATATTTCAAGGATGAAGCTTAAATAATTGGGCGTCTTGTCGCGATACCTCACTTATTTCCTTTACATGACATTTTCTCTAACAAAACTAAAATCCTAACAGTTTCATTTTACCACTACTAATGAAGCGAGACCGAAACAGGAAAAAATACATGCATGCGTAGCTTAAAAACTAATTAATATAGTAGATTTGTTTTAGGAGGGGATGTTATTTCCACGGTTGGTCGCTTTGAGTTTTAGTAATTTTTAGACTTAAGTATGCGACTCTGACCGAGGTGACTATTCTTTAGTTTGTAATGATTCAATAACGTCCCCGTCGATATGATCAATTTGTCTCTGAGAGCAACTCACCACTACTTTTCATGTCTACGATTTGAAATCAGGTATTGGTAAGCCGATCTTACTGTTTGATTCATGCCACCGCGCTTATTTAAAGCACATAAGTACATGTATGTTTAACTCTGATTTAGCCTACAAAAAATTATTAGCCAAACCTAAAACATGTACAGTTTAAAGAGAAATTGTTAAGTTACCAAATATAAAGTTACAATAATGATGAATCTGTCAGGGTTTACTAAGAAAGTCAGTTTTACAGCTTGCCAGTGGACAAGCTGTACCGAACATGTACTAGCCCAATAGACACTTAACTAGCCCCGAAAAAGAATTTTTAACGAGCAGGATTGATAAGAGTTAAATAAAGGCAGTTTTAAGGGATGCTTGTCAACTGAAGACAGTCCTCTCCCCTTATAATACACTGTAGGTCATGTAACAGTTTCAAAGTTGGATCATTTGCTTAGTGTCGTTAGGGTTAAAGAGATGCTTTGCCTGAAAATCTGGGGAAAACCACTGCCCAGAAACTAGTAATGCTTTATTTAGTTGAAATTGTTGGAATTAACTCTTAAATGTTTTTGGGAGAGCCTTTATGAGTTATCAGATTGTTGCCCGCTGAAATCGAGTATAGCATCATTTTAATGATGCTAAAAAATACTTTGTTTTTGCTGAAAAAACCGCAGAAATCTTAATAGTACAACAGCTTCGACTTTCCACTTGTACAAGCGGCCAATCAATTAATGTTTCCCCTTTATCCTTGTCTCCTTCTCTTCTCTTCTCTTCTGTTGTCTTTGCTAGGCAGGAATGTGCTGATTTTTTCCTGTTTAAGAAAGAATCCTCTTTTTTACTTTACAGAGCGTTGTTTGGTGTTCACACATGTCTTCGATTGAAACATTTTTATTTAAAGCCACCATCGGTTGGCTCGTGAATAAAGGAAGAGATGTGACAGCAGAAAAGCTAAAAGAAGGCGACGTGACGGATAAAAAAGTACGTGATTTGATCGTGCGTGAAGTGAAAGATATCAAGTCAAAGTTGGACGGATTATCAAGAAAGGATCTCCTGGTAGCTGTTGATTCCTTTGAAACAGGAGTCAGGTTTTTCTTTCAGGCACTCGATGTAAAACCTACTGGTGGAGCCAGTACCGCAACAGAAAAGACCTCTGTGGCAATCAAAGAAGAGAACGTTGACTTAACAGATGTCGTAAAGGTAGTTTCCTTTGCCTCAGAGATGGAAAAGATTCAGAAGATTGATCTTGATGAGGCGACAAAGATTAAATTTTCTCAAGCCGAAAAGAGATTCAAAATGGCCCGTGAAGAAGCAACAAAAGCCTCCAACAACGAAGCTCTTGAGGTTTTTGACCGGATCACAGCCATTCAATTTCGTGTCATGGCAGCAATATTAGAGTCAGTGGTAGAGACAGCGAGAATCGCGGGTGTCTTGTCCCCAGAAACTGTAAAGAGTGCATTGGAAAATGCATTAAACGAGTGCGATCAGTGCCTTCAGAAACTTCATTGTCTTCCAGCTGTTCAGGACTGTTTTAAAGTTGGACTGGAAAAAGGTCTCCTAAATTTGAGACGACGGTTTGGTAAAGATGAGCGAAGAAGGGTAATTTCCACGGTATGCCAGGTAAATCGCGCCATCTACAATGCGACACAAGCAGTTGGCAGAGACGCCTTGATCTGGCCATTTGTCGACACCGGAGAAGATAAAGTTGACCCTCTACGCGATAGAAGAATACCAAAGGTATTGCGAAAAGTTTATATGGAGCACTGTTGTGTTAAACCATGGTCATTAGGTCAGGAGGGTGAAGAGGAGCACAAGCTGAAGAGGCCGTGTGGTATCGCTACAAACCATAGAGGACAATTCCTGATAGCAGACGATGGGGATAAAACCGTGAAGGTGTTTGATAGCAACGGAAAGTTTGATTTTAGGTTTAATCCTCAAACTGATGACGCCGATACAGAGTTAGATATTTTGGATGTCGCCACTGCAGGCGAGGACGAAAGGATTTATCTTCTGGTCAGACTGAAGAAGCCTGGGGCTGAGGAATGGGAGAGGGAAGTGCAGGTTTTTAACAAAACTGCTGACCTACAGCACAAGTTTCCTGTGAGGAGAGGGAACTGGAACAGACTAACAGTGAGCAGCGAATTGAGCAGCGGCAAACAACGCGGCAAAATTCTCCTGTTGGCACGTGACGATGTTCATGTTTACGAGGAGCCGAGTGGCAAGCTTGTTTGTAGCTTTGGTCGAAGAGTGTTCAAGTGGGCATCAGATATCACTGCTACTTGTGATGGTCGCGTCATGATAGTACACCGAGGCGATGACAGTTTGTACATATTTGATGTGGAGGGACACCAGCTTGGCAAATTTAAGATCAAATATGAGAGAGATGGCTATTATCGCATTGCATGTCACCCCGCAAGTGACCATGTTGTCCTTGCTGGTCAGGAACGAGAGACAGACCGCCTGACGCTGGCTATATACACTGTTAATGGCGAATTTGTTCGCAGAATTCAGCTGGATGAAAAATTGGGTTTTGTAAATGGAATAACAGTGACCGTGGAGGGTCACATTGCTGTGGCTTTACAGGATATTAAAGACGAAGATACTCTCCAAGGAAAGGTAATTGTTGTTTAAAACTAAAAAATTCGAAGACACAAGTCAACAGTTCTTATTTTACTTTCATGAATAAATGTCATCAAGGCAGATGTTTAAATTTAATGCTGCAGTTGATTGGAATCACTGGACATGACTGGATTAAGCCACATACACTGGCTTAAGTTTACTGATGTTTGTAGTAAGTCTTGTGTTATCGCTCTAACCCTCTAACCAAAAGAAACCAAAACAGGTAAAATGAATGCGATACATGTACAGTAAACACTCGCTAATAAGAACCTAACTTACATTTTTTTTTTGGAGGTCTGACAAAAAAGGTTCATTTTTTGTGGGTACGTTACAGAGTAATTAAGGCTAAGTACAACTGTAGTTTCTTAATTAGGTTTTTAATTTCTAATATATACATTTAGCCAGGGCTAAAAGCGAAGCTCCTATTAACTCCAATTTATAATTTAAATCAAACAACATACTTGTATTCCACAATTCAGTTAACTTTAGAGCACATTCATGTGACTTTTGAGGGAAAGGTTTAGTGATTTTAGAGAAAAATAATTTGCAGGAAAACAAATCAGGCCGAATTGTTTGCGTTCGACAATTAAGTTTACTTTACAAAATCTTTCCAACAAGTCTGGGACGTGTAAACCATCCTTTTATACTTTTTATACATCACATCTGAGGTGAAACAGTACCATGAGGCGCTGTTTTTATCATACAGACCTCGGACAGAGTGCAGTATTTCACAATTTTGCAATACAAATATTGCACTCTTTCAATATTCAGGACGATCGAAGCACGCGTGGGCTTTTAGCGAATTTAAACCGTTAAAAATTTCCAAAATCACCTACTTGGCTAGCCGGTTCTCACTTTTGACAAGCGCCAAAGTCGACTGTTTAAATTAAGACTAATAGAGTTGTACGCTTCAACATAATAAAGAATTTGTTATGTTTGTTTTTTATTTATTTAATGGTTTTATAACGATGTGTACTCTTCAAAAGCGTTTGATACGCGTGGCATTTTGACTACTGCATGCAAGCGATGTTTATGAGCGACTAAAAACAAACGGTACAACGATTAAAATTGCAAAAGAGACTACTAACAATCAATAAAAGGAAAATAATTCGGTGAAACATATACAGAGACAACTCTTTTCATTCTCCTGAAAATCCTTGTTTATGTTTTAAGCCGGCTTCCCGGTGTTTGCTTTTTTCAAAGATGAACTCGAGGCAAGAAAATTGCTCAAAGCTTTCTTTTACAGCCAGAATTATAACTAAATATTCTTTGGAACGTTTTCTTTCTATTTTCGGTGAGAAAATGTCTAAAGGCTTTTTAAAGTTTTATAAGCTTATAATCAAACCTGATACTCGGTCAGATCATTGTCTCAAATCTTACAAACATGCATAAACGAAATAGCCCCATAAACTACGCTCGACTTCATTAAATTAGATATAAAAAACAAACATCAAATACAACAATTACTCAAGCTTACCTCTCGAGGTGCACTGAAAACTATCAAGTAAGGCCAGAATCGCTTCAGACTTTTCAACCCTCTTACGCATCAAGCAAGGTGAAAAACGAAAACGATGCCATCCGAAATCGGATTTTCAACTTTGACAAGCGACGTATGTCTCAACCAAAAACCCAACAAACAAACTAGCCATGAATAACAGAAGACTCTTGATAGCAGCTGAATTTCATTTTGTACATTCAATGGAAAAAGACAGTTAAAAACATCACAAGTTGACACAAAACTCTGTCAGCTTCAGCTGTCAAAGTGAACAAGTTTCAAGATGCTGCATAAATTTTGCGCATGAACTCAGCTGTCAAATTTTGACCAATCAGAGCATAAAAATTTGGACGTAGAGCGTGACCAACGCGTGACCTTGGTGAGAAAAGTCAAAAGCAACTGGCATGTCTTCCCTGCCTGTAAAAACTGGCTGAATTTTAGCTTCCGAGGTCAGTTTAAAATCAAAATTTTAATTGTGCGGCACATATTAAACTTGAGCCTGCGATCATTTGAAAACTAGTAACTTGTCAGCGGATAACTTCAAAAAGATACTAGACCTCGATGGGTCGACACCTGAGCCCGCGATACGGTCAGGTGATACTGCTGAGCGGATACCCTGTTTTGACAGCTGTCAATTGATCACAACATTGATGTGCAAGATGTGTGCAATATCAGTCTTCCTCTGCTCCCAAACTGGCTAGAAAGTGTGAGATTTAACATTGGTTTCCCTGTGGTGCGGACGGACGGGCGGGCTGCGAGCGGTGTACGGTCACGTGATTACCAAATTTTCTGGGATGGGTAGATTTACTTACCCATGGTGCTCCGCAGGCGCGCTTCGCGCGCCAGAGCTCCGCTATGAAGGAGATGTACAGGGTGTCCCAAAAGTTTGTTCCTCTAATTTCATGCTCAGTATTAACTTTTGATCAAAACTTTATTTTTACATGAAATTTCTCAAAGATGTTTATTGCTCTATCAAGTAGATGATTGTATTCAGAAGTTCAGTAAGCTGCAGGTCCTCTTTTTTTTCTTATCACATTCTGTAGCCGTCGTGGCATAGAGTGGGATGAGTCATCGTAGCGTCTAGAGCCCCATATGAGCCACTTTTAGCTTTTTCATCACCTGGTACACAGGAGCCACTTCGACCCCCAAAACAATATCATTTTTTTAGATAATCTAAAATATTTTTTTGGCTGCCTAATTTAGGCAGCCAAAAAAATGTTTTAAGCATTCATGTAAAAAAAACATAATCATCCCGGCCTCTCTCTGCAGGAAGGTTTTTTTACTTCTTTGCCAAGGAGACTAGCTGAACGTTGCTTGGTGGACTGAGCAAGGCTTTTTTTTGCCATCTAACTTGCCTCCAACCGTCATTTTCCAGGAAACTGCCCCAGACTTAGCTTACTAACTGCTGCGAGAACCACCTTGTTAAGTTTCCTTTTTTTTTTCCAACCTATTTTAGAACTATTTTAGCTGCATCCTCGGAGACCCAGGGGCAGATAGTGGGGACGAGGGAAAGTCTAAACGGGCGGAAAAATATGGCACGAAGAAAAGTAAAGAACGGTGAGAAGAGCCCCTGGGGACAATGTCTTACCAGACAAGTTCCAAACGGTCGCCTGGCACGTTCTGCCAGAACGATTGGTGACCGTTTGGAACTTGTTTGGTAAGACATTGTCCCCAGGGGCTCTTCTCACCGTTCTTTACTTTTCTTCGTGCCATATTTTTCCGCCCGTTTAGACTTTCCCTCGTCCCCACTATCTGCCCCTGGGTCTCCGAGGATGTTTTAGCTGCTTTATTCAGGACTTTATGTTCTCCAGCAGCTTCTTAAACCACAGTTTCTTATTAGTGGGTGTGTGTTTACTGTGAGTACAGTAACATTCTTTTGTTTCTTTAACAGTTGGTGGTATAATAATATTTTTGTTTGTGCAGAATGGAAAATAATACAATCCAGATTCAGTTGGTTTACAAAAACATCCTCATCATTTACCAGCTTCTCTATAACTCTTTTCGTTAAAGATTCAGGTTTTTAAGCTTAAAATGCTCTACATTGTAACTCAATTGCATGCCACATCAAAAAACACCTTTGAAATCTTCTCCAGGAAAAATATTTTATGATGCTCCCCACTTGATTTAAGCAGCCAATAATGTGATAACCCATAATAACCCATGCAACCAGCCGTCTTTTGGTACAGGCGTGCAGGCTCATTCCCCAAAACATCGGCTGGTAATCAAGCCTATTAGTAAGATAATTAAGATTTTATTCCAACAATTTTCACTAAATAAAGCATAAATAGTTTCTGGGCTGTGGTTTTCCCCAGATTTTCAGGCAAAGCCTGCCTCTCTCTTTAATCCTAATGACACTAAGCAAGTGATCCAGATTTGAAACTGCCACATGACATACGTACAGTGATAAGGAGAGAGGGCTCCTTTCCGTTGACAAGCATTCCTCAAAACTGTTTTTGCTTAACTGTAATCAATCCTGCTCGTTAAAAATTCTTTTTGGGCAGGTTAAAGTGTCTATTGGGCTAGCACATGCTAGGTACAGCTTGTCCAAATGGTAAGCTGTGACAAAACTGACTTTCTTAATAAACCCTGACAGATTCATGATTTGCATGTGAAGTAATAGAAATGTAACTTAATATTAATGACAATTTTGTTCTGTCTTTGAACTGTTTTAATAATAAAGTTTGGCATCTAAATCACAGGCAAAAAAACACACTGTTGGCCTTAATTAAAATTAAGTTTGGCTTATGAAAACTTCGACTGCTTTGCAGATCGGCCGGTAGCCTGCTATATTAGTAAAGAATGCATGATTAAATATTATTTGGTAACTTAACAATTTCTGTTTAAACTGTTTTAGGTTTGGCTTTAAATTTTCTGTAGGCTAAATCAGAGATATACATACATTGTCTTTTAATTTGGTTGACCTGAATTGAAATATTAAGCTTGACTGTACTGGCTTTTAATGTTAGTATACAGCTGTAAGTGAAACTCTCCAGTGATCACCTTAAAGATGGAGATCTGTTAAGTGTTTATTATGGGGAGATAGGTATATAAAGCCTGGTTTCCATATGATCGTCCCGATCGCCCCAGTCATTTAAAAAAGTTTGGAGATAATCCGGACAAGTGGGACGATAGGTGGTTTCCATGTGATCGTCTGGGTGCCTCAACAACAAGAGACACGGGGTGTCATCAGCGATGTCTCTTGGTTAGACAATAGAATTTTTGTGTGGGTGCCGCAAACAAGCTATACTTACATGCAATGATGGATTTTAAATGGAGAGCAAACCTCAAGCTTTGCTATCTGCTTTTTCTCTCTATTTTGTGGCGTCAACAAGCTTGAAGTCAGTTCCTCAAAGACACAGTATCACATCTAGAACTTGATGAAACAGATTTTCTCTTTAGTTTCAAATAGCGCCCATACGTGATGTGAACATTTTTGAATTATTTTTGACTTCAGCGGCATCCAGGCCGAATATATTCTAAATTAATGGAATAATAGTGATGATTTCTGGGATAGCCT